CAACAAAAATCCTGAACGACTCTTGGCAGTAAGCAAGTAGCAGACTGCAGGCTGGCTAACTGACAGCGGAGATGTGCAAGTGAGTGACTGTTTGTGTGTGTGTGTGTGGCTGTGTGTGTGAAGACATGCTAAACATAAATAAACAAATGCAAAAAAAAAAAACGAAATCCTGCCATGTTTGCTTGCGTGTATTTGTGTGCAATTGCATACGTTTACAGTTCAGACAACATCAAGTGAATATAACAACAACAATACTGCGTATAATAATGGCAACACGACGGCTAGTCAATATTCGTAAGTTGCTGGCCCATATACATCTATACAAACATACATAAATACAGCTATGGTACTTCGAGAACAACTGTAAAGGAAGCAATAGTACAACTTCAGTTCTGCGTGTGTGTGTGTGTGTGTGTTGTAATTCAAGCATCCTGCTATATCCTTTAGCCGCAATGGCTCGCATAGTTGCTGCCTGCTAGAAATGCGGACGGAAATGAAAGCTTGTTGTACGTACTAGAGGTATACGCCGCCGGGCCACGCCGCCGCCGCCGCCGTTTTTTTGTCATTTCTCACGCGCCGCCGCCGAGTTACGAAAATATCGGCGCGGCGGCGGGGGCGGCGGCGTTCGGCGCCTAGGGAATTTTGTACAAAATTTTCATGTTGTATGCACATTGAAATACATCGTTTGAAGCAACTAAATACTACTCGTATAAAAGCACTATTTTACGAAATGAAAATTACATTTTTAAAAGATGTTTTTTTGTCATAATTTAAGCCACTGAACATTAAAAAAAAAGCGTAACTCAGAAAAATATATAGGTAACATGTTTTTCGATCGACAGCGTTTATTACAGTTAAATTAGGGTCGAATAGGGTAGAAAAGTTTTTTTCCTAAGTAGTGGTCAAACCCCAGGAAGGTTTTGCTCCCGCGCATCGCAATATTTTCTACACAGAGTTGAAGTCCCCCTTTTTGGTAAAAATTACTATTATTTTGCATTACATTCTGTTCTCCTTAGAAAAATTTGGCACTTAATATATTATTGGAAATTTAACTATTTATAAGCCACTTTTCAAACAGTGGGTCAAAAAGGCCCGTTGTGGTGGGAGTTGATGGGTTAAACTTTTGGAAAAAAGTAGGCCAACCTTATTTTCAATATATAACCCGCAAAAAATCGTAAGAACTCCGTAATTTAACATAACGGTTGAAAGCTTATTGCAAAACTTTATTGATAGCGACATAAATTACCCCAATAACTTAACCTTTAAATTTTTTTATTTCTTTAAATTGAAATAGTACATACGCATTTTTAGAGTACATAGAGATGTATGTATATTAGGGTGCCCATCGAAAATCGTTTTTTTGTACCTTAGTACTACATATTTTCAAATTGTGGAAATTATCGATGGTCAAAATTTAAAAAATTCATTGAAATTCAAGCAAAAATAGTCTCTCAAAAACTCATGAATCTAGAAAATCGTATTTTCTGACCTAAATCGACAGGCCGCGACCTCTAAATGGCCTTTAAAAAATCTATAAAAATAGGCAATAATATTTCTCATAAAAACGAATCAAATTAGGGGGTAGGGTCTTTAAATTTTCAAAAAAAATCATTTTCAATGGGAAACCTAATGTATATACTATATAGACTTTCTTCTGTTCGCCCATCCATCAGCAGCAGTCACTCAACATTTGAATTCAATGAATGAATTAAATAGAATTATAATCTGATGACATGATAAGGTTAGAAGCCTTATGGCTCCTTGGAATCTGCCTTATGGGCAGTAGCGCCGGCGTTTCCAGACGCGCCGGCGTCGCCGCCGCCGCCGATTCTTTTTGAAGTTGAACACGCCGCCGCCGCAAAGCCTGTCGGCGTAAACCTCTAGTACGTACATACGTCCGTTCCGCTTTGTTTATATGTACAGGTGAATGTGTGTACGTTTTGCATTGGTACTCCAATGTTTGCCTTGTTTTTGGCTACTTTCAACTCCTTGACTTAGCCAAATACATGCATTTATGTTGATATGTTTATGTGTTTATGTGTTTGTGTGTGTGTGTGTGACAAGGTCTGGGCCAGTGACACAGGCCAGTTGTACACTTGTCGGCCATTGCAAATATTGTTGCCGACATTTGAACTGTACGGCGGCAATACGCTTCACCGGTTCCGTGCACTTCAATGCTGTACATACATAGTTGTGATTTTTGTTGCTGTTGTGGTTGTTTGCAACAACCGCCTGCTTGCCAGCTTGTCTGCCGGTTTTGTTGTTTATTATGTCTATCAATATTTTTCCGAAGTTTACTTTTCTCACCTCCACTTTCAATTCATTCATGCTCTTGGAAATCCCATGCCTTCTTTCAGTCGCCTATTCGGAGAAGGCGTAGAAAAATAAACATTGCTGATTTTTACCATTCTGCATAGTTTAAAGTCACATATAGCACATACTTATAGACATTGCATCGTTATTTACTTGTGCGCACAGTCCTGCTTGGCTTGTGTTTTTCATGTTTTCATACCGCTAACGGCTAGCTTGAAAACATGCATGCTGATGGACAATGTTTGCTTTACTCATTTATCCAAACTTCAAATGCATTGTTTCGAGCGGCTTTGAATGGCAGTAATTTTCTTAAATAAAGCACGAATTGGAGATGCGGTTGCATTTTTAAAATGCAAACTAACCAAACCGTTGAAAGGGTACAATTTCCATATGTCAGCGTGGTCGTTTTCCTATTAAAAAGAAGCTAAAATAAAAATGTAGTGACAGTGCAAGTCTACTAGGTGGTAGGCAATTTCGTAGACTGGATCTTTAAATACTAAGTAGGTCTACCACAAAAGGCTGGTAGTCACACTTTGCGAGTGTCGCTGCACTTTGATGGCAAGGCAGTGAAGCGATCTGACAAAAGTTTCTCAAAAAAAGCGAAGAAAAGCCGGTTGGACTACGACAGGAAATTTTTTTTAAGAACGGACCTAGAATCAGTTGTTATGGAGTTACTTCTTCGAAGGCATAGAAGGCAGCCTTTAGTGCTTTAGATTTCGATGATTTCTCGTTACACAACATGTTCCCTGTTGTACCTATAGGATCCAGTGTGAAGTTGAGCAATGAGCAGCGAACAGTCACTCGAATTCCTCTATGACTCTCGCTAACCGAGTGGTCGCGAAGCAGTGAAATTCAGCATAAAATCCAAGCGCTTCAAAGGTTAAAAGTTTTTTAGCGAGCAACACTTTCTCAATAAGGCTCACTCAATTGAGCCAACTCCTGCAAGTCTCTTCGTACAAATGGCGTCACATCTGCGTCGCAAGGCCGCCTTATCTACTGAGCTGCGGTGTTGGCACTAATGTTCAACTGGGCATTTAGAAATGTGATTGAGAGCTCTTTTCCTCTGATATTTGACATGCGTAAGGTTCGTCTTGGAATCTGTAAGTTAGGCAGCTCTTTCAGCGCTTCGCAGATCCAAGTTCTAATGCACAGTAGTTCAAAACTGGAAGTTATTGTTCATAATTCACAGGAGACTTCATTTGTCAACCAATTTGATGATTGTTTTTTTTTTTTTTTAATGAAAGCTTACAAACGTACAAACAAAGTACGTTTCAGACGGGGTCGGGCAGCAGATTGGGGCCTATCGTCACAGTACCACTTAGCTTTAGGAAAGCATAATGGCACATTAAGTCTTTACAGATATATTATGTTTATACATAAATATGTATATTTAATATTGCTCTTCAGGCATATTTAAAAATTTCATCTTGTACTCAAATTCGTGCATTTTCCAACATACATAGCTAGCTATCCAGCACGTGTATTCTTACATATAGATATACTGTGAGCATTTTTCGAATGTAATCCAATTCAGCCGCTGACCAACCCGACATGGTAGGAGCAGCAGAAACATGACGACAAATTAGAGGCAGCATGTACCAAGCTCAATACACCAAAGGCATAAAATGAAAAAAAAAAAGTTGAATTCTTGCTGCTGTTAAGTGAAAAATTTATGTAGCTAATCCTGCACGCTATTGTCCTGGCAGGAATAGCAAAAGCTCAATATTTGCAGAGAGTGTGTTCAATTGCTTCCTTTGCGCCGGGATCCTCACTTCTGCGGCAGAACCTGTTGAAAGGTGCGCCTATAGAGACCGCTAGTATGGTGAAATTGTTTAGCAAAACTCTGGCGATTTTTGGCAAGGTCTTATGGATCGTTTCGATTACTTTTGACTAGGTTAAAGAGATGTTGAAAAAATATTTGCTGGTCACGAGGCGTTGTGGAATCGCCGGCATTTTGGAAAAAAGTGTGTAAAAGTTTCTCGTAACTTATGTACATCAAAACAGTTAATTTTTTCGAAACAATTCAAATACACTTTATTATTGGCCCCAAAAAAAAATCTGCATACATTTCTTTTTTTTCACATTTCGACAGTGGATTGTCCTAAAACCGTTAATTGATTGAATCGCAATTCTGGAAAATAAAAGTATAAAAGATTCGAATAGTGTTAAGCATTATGGTCAATTGCATAATGTTTGGTACGTGCTTAAGTGGGCTATACTTTCGCGTGCGCTGGGTTTGGGTCCCGTCACATCAAAACGGCGCCCAATGTAATATACAAAATCACACGATCAAATCCACTTGCAAAAGGATAGCCTCAGATTGAGTGCTCTGTTTCGTCTTTAAAGACAGCTACTTCTTGCAGCAATTGGAAGAAGACACAGTTGGGCAGTACGTATTCTATAGCTGCCCAGCTTTAGCTAAAATCAGACCAATTTCTAGTTAGGCACTTTTTCAGCTCTCTCACGGAACTATCCGGTTTAGGAATAAACCAATCATACGCTTGATAAGAGCTTCAAAATGGTTCTATGCAGAATATTCACTGAGGTTCTAGTGTTTCACAGTGGTACTTAACCTAACCTAACCTAACTATGTTCTCCTATTTTTCCACGTAACTTTTTACCATTTGATTTTTGAAAATGCTGTTAACGTAATATATTTTACTATATTCGAAATGAATTCATTTCAGATGCTGAAAGTAAACACCAGGAAAAAATCAACTCTTCCGCTGGTACACTTGATTTATCGATAAGTGGATGGTCTTTTATGCTGGGAAATTGATTGTTCGACACTTGCATAATACGTTCATAAGTCGGTAAGTGTACAAATAAAGTTTATCCTAGCTATCAAGGTGAAAGTTTGCAAATTTAATCATTTACACAGGACCTAAAAAAAAAAATCTAAATTAAACCAGACCAGGTGTTTTATATGTTTTTGGGGTCACTGTGCATAAAAGTTTCGCTACGTTTTTTGAGGTTAGTAAAAAATTCGAACGGCCTTCAGATTCGTGTTAAGTGACCCCGAAAACATATAGAACACCGTATCTGGTTTTTAGTCCTGTGTTATTTATAATTTGAAAAACGAGTTTCTATTTTTTTTTTTTTTTTTTTGGTTATGTACCATTTATTTTTTGTGTAAACCACCGTTATGTATTAAAATCGAAAAATTAAAAAAGTTTAGACGACCTTGTTTGAACTAGCCCGACACTAGTACTAAAAAAAACCAGTTCATATGTTTCAAAAAGAAAACTGCGCATATCAGTAAATATAACCAAAAACTCATTGCTCTCGTGAACATCTTTCCTTTAGGGCTGTCTGCAACTTTTCGAGTCTCCAGCCGTATTGTGTATAATGTCGAAGTGGCTGTAGCGCACCTGGCCGTATGAGCAACTCTCATGATGTATTGTGTATGTGTGGTATTGCATTATGTACCCTCTATTCGCTATATGCATGTGTGCATGAGTGTGTGCGCGTATATTAGCTGTACACCTGTTTTTTGTGTGCACCTGTTCTTGGCAAGTTTTGGATTACGTCGTATATTACTAGTTTCAGTTCCGCCATTCATTTTCCTACACTCTTTCCTTCGCTTTGTGCGCACGCTTTTCACTTCACATCCCTTAACGCCGGCGGTCATGTAGCAGCAGTTAACTTGTTTCTTTTTTTTTTTGCGCTACTTCCTGTCCGCTGTCCACCCCTACGCACATTCTTCAAGTCTCTCTGGCGTGTGTTGCTTGTAGAATTTTCAATACCAGCGGCAAAAATGGATTTCTGTCGCTTGCTTTGAAATTTTTTCTTGTACTTTTTTGTTGAATTTTTTTCGCCAAAACTTCATTGCTGTTGCAAATTGCCTGATACAGCATCCTTTTGTTTTAGTTCGCTTGTACGCAAGTTTTTCCTCGATTTTATTTTATTTTTTTTTTTTTTTCTGTAGTTTGCCGGAAGTTTGAAATTTGACATGTTCCAGCAGCGTTATCCTTCAAACACTATGCTAGCGTTTGCGCTCATCTTGTTGCTCTTACTGAATTTCGCATTTATGTTTTTTCCATTGCTTCACATACTCTCATACATACTGTGCTCAGTCGCACATCTGTATGCCTGTTGCCTCTTTTACTCCTTACATACATACAAGTACATATGCACCTGTGTTGCGTTTTGCAAAATGTTGCTTAGCCGGACAGCTGCTGAGGATTTCTATGCACTCAATCGCGCCTTGGGTCGTTGCTGGCCGTCAGGAAGCTTTTGTTATTGTGTTTCACTCTTCTCTTCAATTTACTGTGTTTTACGGTTTTTTCTGTTGAAGGATTTTTTTTGGAAAAGCAAAAGATTTACAAATTGATGGATTGCTGTAGCTACCTGTATGTACACAAATACTTTGAAGCTAGCTGAAATAAGTATGTATATATATGCAGACAGGGTGATCCCATCGAGCAAAAATATTTTAAAATTTTTCACTTATAAACAAAAAAAGTGTTTTGTTGTACAAAAAATCTATATCTTAGAGAAGCAAGTATATTTTTTTATTATTTAGCTTTCATTATAAAAAGAAAGAAAAATATATATTTTTTTTAATTTCGTTAAGTTTTTAAAAACTTATTTTATTTATTAATATTTTTTGGTTCAAATTGAGTATGTATTTAATTTGTTAATTTCAGCTCCTGTTAAGCTTCAAATTTTATTGGTTTAAAAAGTAAAATGTATTTTTTTTTTATTTCGTTTAAATTTTAGGATCTTATTTTATTTTATTTTTTGTTGTGTGTTTAAATTAAAATTAATTTAAATTCTTAGATTTTATTTTGAAAATATTTTTTTTATAGCTTTATTTAATTTTTTAATATTATTTTCTACTATTTGGGTTTAATATTTTTTTTCAGATTTGATTTCAAGATTTTATTATTTTAAGAAGAAGAATTATTTATCTTAAATACATTTAATTTTTAAAAACATTTTTATTTATTTTAATTTTTGTTTTCTTTTGTAACTAAGTTTTACATTTTATGGTTTCAAACAGAAAAAAATATATGTTTTTTTTTTGTTTTATTTCAATTTAATTTAAAAAAACTTTTTTCTATAAGGCGTACAGCATAACGCTAAGACCTCTTCGCTAGCAGAACTTTCATTTAGTCTTTCGAAAGACAGTAAAGATCTTTCAAGATTGTTGCCAGAATTGACCAATTGAAAGACTTTTCTCTTTCAAAAGACTTTGGTGAGTTGAAAGACAGTTGCCGGAATCGCCCTTTAAATCTTCTTTTCCCATAAACTTCAAAACAATTGTTGTTTCCAAAAATTCGTGATCAGGCTCAACGCGAATTGGATAGCAACCTATGGAAAAAGCTCAGAAATATTTTTACTTAATTTGATTATCCATTTAATTTTAGTGTAGGGGTATAAAGCACTTATTTTTCTATAATTAATTTCATGCAGCATTTGAGAAGTGCAAAGATGCGCCTATTTGTGCGAATAATGAGTAAGCACAGTTAGCAGAATCTCAGACACTTAGCTCAGGTTTGTGCGCCCTTGCATACTTCTTGGCGCCAGTTGCTGTAGGGTCAATAAAATGCAGTTTTAATGCATTTTTAATAGTATGTATAAAAGATTTTCTGTTAATTAATTTAAGCTACCGAGCTGTTAGTTGACATAGGAAATGGCGAATCGCTTCCTCCTCTTCACAGCGCAATAACAATTGCAGAAGAACAGTGTCTTATAACTGGTAAGAATTCTTATAGCAAGTTTGTTTAATGTCAAGAGTTCCCTAGTTATTTTCTTGTTGAGACTCGGCCATAAGGACCTTGGCAATTCGCAGTTGTGTCGATTGATCCGTAGCCCATTTATTATGGCTGTGGTATAGTTGTGCATTTTCTTCAGCACATCGTAAAGCACTTATCTGCTTTTTCAAAGGATTTATTTTCAACTCATCGGCTATTTGCTTATATTCGATTCAAGAGCCCAGCAATAAGAAGTTTTACCGTGACTCATTGATATTTCCGTTAAATTTTTAACTATACAACTTATTTACAAACTCCTTCATAATCGTTGCTATTCCGTGTTAGAAAATCAGCCTTCCACCTGGCAGAGATGCCCGTTTAAAAGCACTACTGTGTCCGGTAGGCGATGCACTGAGAATCGCGCCAACTCCTTTTGCCATCTTTGAACCATCGGTTAGGATTCCCGCCGGCAAGCCAGCGTCCTATTCTTTTCTAGTACGAAATCGTATAAAAATCATGAAGTAAAGTCCCCGTTATACCGTCCTCCTTTAATTGTACTCAAGATCACTGCACGCCCATTGTCGGCCTGCTTCCACAATTTTGATGCACTTAATCCAAGAGGCGCCTTGGGGTGTCCTACTCCTGGTGCCTGATATTCTGAGGCATTCAGTTCAATGCTTCTCTGATTGCTACGTTTATCTCGTGGTTTCCTACAATGGAAGAATAAAACACTTCGGATAAGTTTTTCTCGAAAAACCTTGTCAAATGTTTCGTTTAAATCTGAGCCATAAAGCCTTCTTCAACCTCTTTACTTGAGTCCTTCTTCAACCACTTTACTTTAGTCCCATGGAATCACCCTGTTTTCTATCTATACACGACTTTCAGTTCTTGCCACGAGTTATAGATTTGCTCGCTGCTGTAATTGCTTTCATCGTAATATGCGTCTTTTTTTGTGTTTTTGCTTTTCTTTAGTCTTTTTGTTTCCTCGCCTGTGCCTCAGGCTCTACAATGGTTATAGAGTTTGCACACTTGCTTATGTTCAATCACGCAAATGGCATATTGCCAGCATTATAACTACATACAGAAAAAAAAATAAAAATACAAAAAACGTTTAAAAAAAATGAAATATTTTTGAGATGGAAAAGTTCCCATAAATTTTTTGTAACATACATACTTCTTTTAGGAGCACAAACTTTAATTTTTAACGTTAATCTGAGTCTACACAAATGTGTACAACTGACTTGTTTGAACTCTCGAATTTTAGGCAACTAAAGCTTTAAAGAGTAAAAAAAACAATGCTACCCCCTACAAGCAGAGCTTGCTTAAGTTTCGTTGATGTCCTTTTTCCCAATAGGTATACACTGCAGTTAAGGCTTGGTGGTAATGAACTATAAACATAAACAAAAAAGAACTTTTACTCAAGCTGGCACAGACTACACTGAAACTAAGAGAATGCAAGTAATATTTAGGCATAAAACTAGATAAAAATTAAAAAATTAAATATCCTACACTAAATATCCTACCTATACACAATGTGCTGCAAGTGTAGCTCTAAAAGTGTCGGTTCTGATGGCCCCAACTATTACTGAAGTCTCCAGAAAAAAATCGGAAAGCTAGTACCAATTCATTATTTTTCAAATTCCGAAGTAGACCATCGGCTCGAGTGTCGGCGAAAATTTAATTATATTAACCAAAAAGAAGGCGAGAAGGAGGCGGAATCTGGTGGCGAAACTCAGTCTTGTGTTGCCGGCAGAAAACCTTCTGTCAGTGCATTAGCAAGAGTTGCAGGTCGACAGAGTTTAAACATTCGGAAGCCTATGGCTATTTGGGTAGATGAAGTGGCATCTAAATCATATGGAGAATGGTGTAAGAGAGGGCTCCATGGTATCCTTGTCAAAATTCAAAGACACATGCGTGTCCTGATCAGAGCGTCTTCTCTATGACAAGAGGTCTGTGAACCCAGCCCGCATTTATTGAGTCTGTCGAAGGCCGCCCGCTTATTGCCATAATAGGGAGGGCAGGTGTGATTCGGCAGATGATTGCAACCGACACTGCAAGCAATAAGTATGTATTCATTGATATTGGGAGGAGGATAGAAGCGATTTGATAAAATG